GCTCTAATAATAAAAAAAAAAAGCCAACCCTTAACAATATTAACTATAAACAAAGCCACAATGTGCTAACCGTATTTGGAAACTAAAAAAACATCACTACCACACACTGAACATACACAGAACACACACACTCTACTAAGCTGATAATTGAATCATCCTTGATAATGGCTAAAAGTATAGCCGAAAGCCGAAAAATACAGAACATTCGGACAGTTCTTACACACTCTTTGTCCAGAAAAAAAGCTCTTGTCAGAACACAAGAAAAATTAAATAAAAAGCTCAAACGTAGTACCTTGTCTGTCGTTTTAATGAAACATGCATAAAGGAAGGATTGCTGCCTAAATATACAAATATATATATATATATATATATATATATATATATATATATATATATATCATAAAATGTTCCAAAACAGAAAAACTGCCCTTTCTGACAAGCCCAATGAATAAAAAAATATTATTTGACCCAGTAACAATTGAAAAGGATTTAACTAAACGTAAAATAAACATAAGCCTGATGAAGTCCTAAACAACTAAACACATCATACAAAAACTTTTTCCATTTTTTGTCATAAATCCTTCCACTAAAAATATATATATATATATATATATATATATATATATATATATATATACACAAATGAAATGATAATGAATGAAATATAAATCAAATGTTCACAACATTAATATAGGGCTCAATACAATTGTAGAGCGATAATTTTGAGCGAAGAGATAAACATCATTATGAATTGTCAGAAATCTGTCCTCATCCACAAAAAAGAACATGTGTATGTGCTTTCATCAGCGACAAACACAGGATAATTTATATATATATATATATATATATATATATTATATAAAATATATTTATGTTAAAAATTATTTGAGAGTTGTGAATATCAATTTTTATATTAAGCATAAAGGGAGATGACTCTGAGTTATGCTACCAGTGAAGGATAATATGTATATATTTATTAATATATATTTGAATCAAATATGGATTAAAATCCAAAGTATGATAGAATAAAGAACAAATAGGAAAAATTTATAAATTTAACATGTTTTGTTTTTATTCAAGCTTCATCAAAAATTTTGGGAAATGAGTTATGAAAGAGAAAGTTCTGGTATTTTGAGCTGTGTTTTTATCTTTGGTCAGCAGATCTCACATTTTTTTGTCTTGTGGTATTAGCGTGTGTGATTCTGGATTCTAGCAGGCATTTTTGTGTCTGTCTGGTAGTGTCCGTGTGTTTAATTCCCAAAGATGGAAAATGGGGAAAGGGTATGTGTGTATGTGTATATTTCTAGTTGGTCTTGTTGGATTTCATGGTGTCAGTATGTGTGTTAGATGCATGTTATTAGTGTTGGGGTAAATTCTGTGGTTGGGAAAAAAAAATAACATGTATATCAAGACATTTGGAGACACTATTTTTTGTATCACTAATTTTTATAAAACTCATACTTAAAGAGTATAAGATCCAGATATCTATTGATGATGTAACCTAAGTCTTTCAATCCAACACACCAAACATCTTCCAATAAATTCAAAAGTCATATATAAAAATATCAATATTGGAATTAAATCAATACACACTGATCCACATACTTCAAAATTTCCTGATACACATGATATTTTTCACTGACAATAGAATCTACTCCAACATTAATAATATCTGAAGATTGTGTTTAAGCATGAAACAGATTGTCACTACTCAGTGTTGACCTCAGTGTCCACTTTTATATTTATACATGTTGTATCCCTGATATTGAGCACTTTAACTCATAATATAGCATACCTTAAAACTATATTTTTAGCATATATATATATATATATATATATATATATATATATATATGACATTACCAATCATTTTATTCTTAAAATAGAAAGGGATTTCATATTTCATTAAATATGTTATTTTAAATTTTGTCCCTTCTCATTAGATATTTCCTTAAGTCAAGAAAATCAATAAATTTATTTTCTGAATTAAATATCTAAAGTTTTAGTGGGAGAATAAACTTTGTTGTATGGCAATTGAAAAAGTGAAGAAACAAAAAATAATTAGGATTACTGGTAGGCAAAAAAAAAAAAAAAAATTCTAAAGACCCAAGGGCCAACAAGCATACTTATGGATTATTGAATATGAGAAAACATATACTAGAAGAGCAGAGAAGCACCCTCACCCCCACCGACCAATCTTCCAGATTATAGGATGTGAGAAACACACAGATGAGCAAGACCTGAGGTCCTGCTTGCTTTCTTCTGGATCATTAGATGTAACATTCAGCCACCTAAAGAAGGTGGTGCAAGAATCCAATAGTCAAAATAAGGTGATCAAAATAACAAAGGCTGCTAGTTTGATAAACATATACATAGCCTTTTGTGAAAATGGTAAATTTGATTTACTATAAATTATTGCATCTAATAGCTGTAGCAATCAATATTCTCAAAGTTCTTCAGAACAAAGGAATAAAGAACTTATTACTTACTTTTCAGGGAATCTCACCCAGTAATTTGGTATTTCATGTTGAAAATCATTCATCAGGCGAAACTGAATAATAAATAAAAATATATTATTCAATGAAAGTGATGTGATTATAATTCCTTTGAAATTGTTGTTTTTGTTTGCAGAGAAGCTGTGAAAAATGAACCAAATTTTTTTCAAATTATCATTTATTTTTTCTTTTTAATATGTTTTGTAAGCATATAAAGATGTGTAAATAAGAATGGAAATATCAAACTGGAAATAATGGAAGTGAGGAGGTGGCTTATGGCCATAAATATGGGGAACCCAGTGAGGCTTAAATGGAATTAGTGAACTGAATTTAAATTCCTGTTGAAGTAATTGATTTTTATTTTAGGAAAAGCATGAATCTCAAACTCCTAATAGGACAAATGAGGGATTAGTCTTTATTGCTGCTATCATAAAACCCATTACAAACTGTTGCATATGCCATGAGAACAGATGATCTTTTAGTGAGATCATTTTTTTCTGGAAAATTCTATGAATATATATAAAATCCTTGATTTTATCACAAACAATCTCTGAATTATTAGATAATTTTATTTTGAAATATAATCATTGTAATGAAAAGAGACCTTTTTAGAAAGTTGAATATTAAGGTTTTATTCAACATAAAAAAAAGCATACCTAGTTACCAGTTACATAGTTAGAAGATATGAACGAATGGACGCCGGAGAGGAAGAAAGAGGTGTCCCACTGTCATTTATAAACACAAGATCACGTGACGTGAACCAATGCGAAATCACACAACAGTTCGTATGCAGATAAGTAGAAGGTATTAAATGAATGAATACAAAAGAATTATAAGTATATCACAACACTCTCTGCTACATTTTATTGATGCTTCGGGTTACGGATGATCTTACGTCCTCGTCTTGATGATTCGGGAAGAAATCCCAGAGCATCCTTCCCTAAGTGCGACCGCTGCTGTTGTTCTAAATTCCGAGACTTCGTTTCGCCAACTGAAGTGGAGGATTCACCATTTGTTGTGGTTTCTTGTTGGTCAGTGGATATTTCCGGTTCATTATTATTTGATGGAGTAGAACTTGATGACTCACAGTGTTCGGTGAAGATAGGAGAATCCGAATCTACAAACGATGGGACAGTAACAGGAGTGGGGGCAAGGTCTTCTGTTGAGACCGTTGACTGACGGCCGTCAGGGAAACGAATTCTCACAAAATTGGGAGTTGCTGATATTATTTCCACTGGTTCCACTAGTGGGTCAGACTTGTGTTGATGGACCAACTTTCTTAGCAGTGCTGGACCCCCTTGCAACCATTCAGGTAGAGTGTATCCAGTACCCGACCTTCTCAAAAAATTGAACAATCTTTCATGTGGTGTTGTGTTAGTTGCTGTGCAAAGGAGAGATCGAATTGAGTGCAGAGCAATGTCGAGTACAGTTTGCCAATGACATTCATCCAGTTGCCTCGTCTTGAGTGCAAGTTTGATCGTTTTCCATATTGTTCCGTTTGTCTGTTGCCGATTGGATGGTATGGTGTTGAGTGTTGCCAGAGAAACTCTTTCAGTTCAGATGATACAAACTGGCTCCCTCAGTCACTATGGATTGAATCTGCGCAGCCAAAGAAGGTAAAGAGATTTTGGAGACATTTTATTACAGTTCCTGTTGAGAGGTCTTGGCATGGATAGACGAAAGGATAGCGTGAGTATTCATCTATGATCACGAGTAAATATTTAAAACTATTTGTTGATGGTTTTGGGCCCATGAAATCAATAGCAAGGCATTCAAAAGGGGATCGAGAATGGATTAAGCGATCAGGGGGAGGTCTGAAAAAGCTTGGTTTTAGTTCAGCACATATTTGGCATTCAGCACAGATATGTTTAACATCTTCCATAGAGAAAGGCAGATTCTTTTGTTTAACAAAATGTTACTGTCTCACTACTCCTGGATGACAGAGTGCTGCATGAAGATCTTTTAGTGATAATGAACACGAAGCCGAGCATGAATGGGAAAGAGTATCTGCAGAGCTATTAAGTGAACCGGGTCGTATACAATATCATAAGAGTAGTTAGAAAGTTCAAGTCTCCATCGAAGTAGCTTATCATTTTTAATAGTTTGGTGTCCGTATGTTGAACATATGAGGCGGCCTGTTGGTCTGTAACGATAGTAAAATATCGTCCAATTAAAAGATCATGCCATTTACGAACAGATTCTACAATGGCTGCTGATTCACGCTCCACTGCTGAGTGTCGACACTCAGATTGCGTAAGAGTTCTAGAAAAATATGCTACTGGGCGTCCATTCTGAGAGAGGCAGGCTGCCAATGCCATCGCAGATGCATCCGTTTCTATTGTGAATGGAATTTCATCTTTAATGACCGCAAGCGAGGCCTTGCAAATTTCATCTTTTATTGCCTGAAATTGACTAGAGTTCTTCGGCAATAGGAAATGAGGAGATATTTAGCAAAGGTGAAATGCGGTCAGAGAAATTCTCCACCCATGGTGAGTAATATGAGTGACTTACCACAGTTCGGAGTCGGTAGTTCTTTGAGTGGTGTAAGTCTGTCTGGGTTAGGACTGATAGTTCCATTCTCCAACAGGTGCCCTAGAAACTTAAGTTTGGTGATGCCATACTCACATTTATCAGGGTTCAGTTGTAAATTGAGACAATCAGCAACTTCTTTGAATGCCTTCATATTTTCATTCAATTCTTTATTTGTCTTTCCCCCGATGACAATGTCATCAATATAGGTGAAGGTACCTTTAAGTTCATGTTCTCGGATTATATTATGCATGATACGTTGGAATACAGCTACAGAGTTTGTTAATCCAAAGGGTAACCGAGAAAATTTATACAGGCCTCCATCAGCTTCGAAGGCTGTATAAATTCTTTCCTCCTCACGGATAGGGCATTGGTGATATGCGGACTTCAAATCTAACTTGTTGAAAATCTTATATTGAGATAGATGGTGCATAATGTTTGAAATTTTTGGAAGAGGGAATTAGCAATTGATAGTGGCAGAATAGTTAATGACCATGTGAGCTTATGCCTTTTCATTACGAGTCACCAAGACTTGGGCTCGCCATGGGGAATTAGAGTTAATTATCATCACTTCTTTTAAGAGCTTCTGTACTTTGTTCCGAATAAATTCGCAATTAGATGCAGAGTAATTCCTGCTCTTTGTTGCAATTGGCTTACAGTCATCTGATAAATTGGCAAAAAGAGCAGGTGGCTCATATTTTCATATGAGTGGTGTTACAGATTTGTAAAGGAGGTATATCTCCGTTAAAAAGGAACTTCACACGGTTGTGTAGTTGCATGAATTCTTGTCCAAGTATGACAGGAGTACATAAGTTGGGCAGAACAGAGAGCTGCATATCAGGGTATGTTTGTCCATTAATTGCGATAGATGCAATACAGTGACCTTGGGTTTTGCTCGTGAGATTAGAGGAGGCCATACTTACTGTGTCACTGGAAAGTAGTATAGGAAGGCCAAGTGATTTCACGATGTTCAACTTTATGAAATTATGAGTGCTTCTGCTGCCTACCATGGCTTTTAGACGAGTGTTGTTTATAGTTGCAACTACTATGGAGTGGGGTGTGCATTGGGATGTAGCTGTGAGAGCAATAAAAGCAGTGCTGGTTTTTATATTAGGTGATATCTCTCTTCTTTTAGACTGGCAGACTTTGGAGAAATGGCCCCTTTTTCCACACAATAGGCAGTCAGCATTTCTTGCAGGGCAATTGTATCGAGAATGATTCTCACGCCCGCAGAATTGACATTTGGCGTAGCGAACTGATTGATTAGTTCTGGTAGCAGCAGCACATTATTTAGTTAATTCATCTGTAGAAATATTACTGGATTCTACTGGATAAATTGATGCTTTTCTACAACTGACGAAGTGACATAAGCTGCTGCATTGTGTTGAGCCATTTCGAGACTTCTCGCGGTTGCTACCACATTATCCAAATTAATTTCACAGCTTTCTCATAGTCTCTGCCGTATCACTGGGGAAGTGAGGCCTATGATAAAAGCATCCTTTATTGCTTGTTCGGCATGCTGAGAAGCAGTGATGTCTTCAAATTTGCAATCCTTGGAAAGATTTTTTAAAGTTAGAAGGAATTGATCAATAAATTCACCTGGCTGTTGTTTTCTAGTGGTGAGCAGATGACGAGCAAATACAGAATTAACTGGTCAGACATAAGTAGATTGAAGAATACTAATCTAGGTGATATATAATTAATTAGTATGCTGAGCTTGTTAGGAGGGTTGTCAGGGTGAGCTACTGACAAGGGTACGGTACCAGTGATTCCATTCATCAGCAGTTGTCTCTGACGATCCCTCAAATCGACTGGGTCTCAGAATGGTACCCATTTTTTTATGTTGAATAAATTGTAATGAAAAGAGACCTTTTTAGAAAGTTGAATACTAAGGTTTTATTCAACATAAAAAAAGCATAAATAGTTACCAGTTACATAGTTAGAAGATATGGACGAACGGACGCCAGAGAGGAAGAAAGGGGCGCCCCACCGTTAGTTATAAACACAAGATCATGTGAAGTGAACCAACGCGAAATCACATAACAGTTTGTATGCAGATAAATAGAAGGTATTAAATGAATGAATACAAAAGAATTATAAGTATATCACAACAATCATTTAAATAAATAAAAAACCATCAAGACAACAGTTATAAAAATGAATTCTTATTTTTTCTTTAGATTAATTTTCTTTATTATAAGTAAAATAGAAGTGGAAAATCTAGAAAAAAAATTGTTTGAAAAGGGTAAAAGTGGGGTTAAAATTTAAATATATATTTCCTGGAATATGGCACCAAACTGAAGTGATAGGATTTTAATTCTGTCTTAGATGTGCTAATTGATTGAAAAAGTCGGCCTAAGCCATTACCCAAAACCTCACCAAATGATCAAATAGCAGAATTTTTTTGGATTTCCTTTTTGGTTGAACAAGAACTTTCTAACACTACCTCTACTATTAGGTATTGATTTTTGTTGATCTTTGTTTTTGTTTTTAATATTACATTTTTGTCTCTCTGTTCTAACCTTCCTTTGGTAACTATTGCATTCAGTAAATGAGGAATGGTGACTGTAACTTTTATTCAGAGAAAATTTTTAAAAAAATGCAGAAGAGCCCAGTAAATGATGAACAAAGATCTTAACTTAGAGAAAGATCAGACTTAAAAGTTTTCCAGAGATAAGATATTGCAGTTATCCTTTTAGGAAAGGCATAAATCCATCTATCACATTGCTAAATATCTTCCCAAAGATCTTCATAGTGGCAAAGCATGACAGTTGAGAGACAAAAGAGGTTAATCAAGTAATGGATTCTACTTGATACCCTGTAATCGCTTAACACCTATCTCATCTAATTTGGAGAGGAGATGGGCTCTGCTAAGAAACTAGTTTTGCTTTCACAAACACATAAAAGGATCCAATATGGTACTATAAAAAATCTCAAAGTTTATGAGAAACAAAATATTTACAGATAAAACATCACAGTCACTTTTCATAGAGTGCTAGTTCAACAAGTGAAACTATTTTTTACTTGCTGCTTCACTGTCTATCCTTGTACAAAAGTTGGTGTAACAAAAGAAAAAATCCCCTACCTCAAAAAAGAGTTTGTTTTGTGTGTGGTCTGCTGAAGGAAAAACAAAAACCTACCACTTTAAGTATCAGAAGAACTATGCTAATGTTCTTTCCTCCCTGACTGGTGTGACCAATTAGAAAAATTGCTTTGTGAATAAAAGCCATTGCTTTGATTAACAAGGAGAGAACGATTTTTCAGCTTGGTGAGTGAAAGTGTGTTTCCTCTGTTGTGAGTGGAAGGTTGGATTTTGGATGGTGTCATTAAAGGGGTAACTTTGGCCCTTCAATGGAACACAACAGTATTGTATTTGAACACGGATTTGTGATTGAACTTATCGTTGGAACACAATTTTTTTTTTTTTACTGAGCACATTGGTTAATACTCTAACAAGCCCATTTGTTAATACACCAACAAACTTTTTTGGCCATTGCACAGGTAGTGGGTTGATGGACTGGTACTCCTTGTAGTTTGTGCTGGTATTCCCCCTGATGTATTTGGGCACTGAGTACTCTGACACCTGGTACTGGAACTTTTCTGGTAGGTTATTTTCAGGCCATTTCCACAGTGTGGTCCATGCCTTCATGCTTTAGTTGAACTCTGCACTAAAGTTGGATCCATCAATCCTCAAGGCAGCACAGATAGGTGGACTAGAAAACTGGACTTTGCCTGATTTTGTGATGCATACTCCACCCAGCTTCTTAATAACATCCATCCAAAGGAGCAGGTCAAACCCCAATTATGTGTTATCCATGACCATAACACTGACAGTGACGGGGTCACCATTGTTGACACCGAGTCTTATGCTTCACTGGATACGTGGAAACGAGCTCCTGGAGATTCCTGGACACATTACATGACACAGTGAATTTCAGAAAGTGAAAGGCTACTCACCATTGGAGGTAGGGCCAGTACCTCTTTAGATGGTGAAGACTGTGCATGAGGTCGTTAAACCAGAGGACTCCTCAGAAGATGACTCTTCTGAACATACCATTCAATCTCCTCCAGTAATTGTCCTGCTCCAGAGAAGATCAAGATTAAAGAGGCATGCCCCCATGTGTAACCTATGTGATAGGGGGAGTATAACAAAAGAGAAAATCATCAACCTTGAAAAAGAGTTTGTGTTTTGAGACTTTCTCTTTCATTACATATTACAGTTGGCTGTTCAAAAATATCTAATAACAGAGAGTAATGTCTTGTTATTAAAGCATCATAATTCAATGAAGATCATAACTATTTTATCTGTACTTTTATGGACCATCAGTTGACCTAATGTAGAACATGTCCAGAACACCTCTACTATTTACTGTTGCCTTATATGCAATGTTAGAAGATGTCATTTTGATATAAGATATCATGCTAGAACCATAGTTATCAAGAGGAGCATTTTGAAGAAGATACCTGTTTGTGGTGCAACGTTTGTGCAGGACAATGTATGCATCTTGAAGTTTAAGACTCCTTAACAAGAAGTTGAGGTTATGCACCTGCATAAAGGTTACATCTATATATGACCAAAACATGTGTAAAATGTTATACTGTGAATAATGCTGAAATCATGTTACATTGAATTTTAGTACTACATATGCTTGTAAATAATAATGAAAAATATTTTTTAAAGATTTTTTGTAGATCTAAATTCATTAGACCTTCCTGAAGTCACAGGATTTTTCAGAATTAAAAAAATATTGATTTTTTTTTAATCATTTTAGAAATGGGATCCTGTTCATAATAATACAGTATCAAATCAATCCTTGACTTGTTAAAGAATTAACTGTATTTTGTTTTTATTTATAAATGACAAGTATGAAACTGTGTTTATATCATTGATAACTCTATATTACTGATGTTGTCTTCTTTCTAAATTCAAAATAGTATGCATTTATCAATGACGTAAACAGTTTTAAACTTGACACTGTAGTTAAATTGTGAACAGTATCCCATTTCTAAAATGATAAAAAAATTAAAAAAATCAATATTTTTTTCATGTGACAAATGTCACATGGACATTTTTGTCTAATGAATGTTAATCTACAAAAATTTATTACTCCTTGCAAATTTTCCATACAGAGTGATGATTAAAAAGCTAGTCTTGTGGACTAGTACTAATTTAATGAAGTTGATCCTGACAAAGTGCTGTGCTTTTTAGGCCTTGTACCAAACAAAGCTAAGTTTAGTAAATATTTAATGAGTGCCTGCTACAGAGCAATAGATGACAAGTTAGTTCCATAAGCCAGTGTTAGTTTAGTGAGATAGATCCTCATGATAAGCTGCAATATTTGTGACCCTGTGTCAAACTACATCAGAAAAAGATATAAACATTGTAGAAAGTGAAAATTTTTTCTGAACTTAACAATAAATCCCATCAAATATTGCCATGAATAAAACCAATTCATAGGCCTCATGCAATTGAATAGCTCAAGGATTATAAAAGTGGTTGATTGTTTTCGCTTTTGCTTTCTGTTGAATATTGTCATTGTTAAACAATTTAAATTGGAATTATAATATGGAAAACAATGGCAGGTGCAGGGAAAGAAAAAAAGTATTTATATAACAAAAGGAAATTAAATAGAAATAAAATGAAAGCATAATGAAGAATAATATACAATGGCTGACAGTATACAAACCATCTTGATTATTTTTACAATCTCAGGGGAAGATGCACTTAGACCATTTTTCAGCAATAAGGCACCGTTCTCTTCCAATGTATGCAACTGATGAATCAAGTTATCCACTGGAAAGAAATGAATAGGTTTTAATGAAAGTAATATAGATGTGTCCACACACACACAGACAGTGTGCATGAATGTATGTGGATATGAAATTATCTGATTATCTGGAGTGACAATATAGTAGGAGATGAAATCAAGACAAGTAAATGACAAGTGAAAAAATCTGTATTCTACTTCCAGGCTGTTGTATTTTTTATCATTCAGGAATAACATTGAAATAAAAATGTTAATAATTATTAATTAAACAGTTAGGACTAATGCCATATATTTTATCAATTCTGTGAGTATATTTTTCTTTTAATGATAATTTTTTCACCATAATTTTTACTGTATATACTTTTTGATCCTTTTTTCAATATTTAGAATATATATAAAATTCTGTAGAAGCTCCAATTAATATATTGTTTTCCAGGTCATCAAATATATATTTTTGTATTGTCAATCAAGTTGTTTCAGATGAAATGTCAAATGTTGTTTTGTCAATATGCTTTTATAAATATTCCTGATTATTTATGAACAAGTCTTTGTTTCACACTTATCTACTGTAATTATTTCTTACAGTTTGTAAGAGCTATTTGCACAACTGAACACATTCTTTTTCTTAAATATAGACTCATATAATGTTGGTGATACAAGAAAAATGAAAATAATCCAAATTGTATTTTATTCCTATTCTACATGGAGTGGTTCTGCACTACTTCTGACAAGTAATGGCTACATTGTAAATGGACATTCTTTTTAAGTAATCCTTTGCATGATTCAGTGAAGCTTGACTTGTTGATCAACCATCTTTCCTTCCCTATGTATAAGCACTTAATGCAATAGTTATGATTCTTGAAAAATATGTCAAGCTTCAAAATGGAGTTTTTGCTTGCTATGGACTAATTAGTAACTTGAAGAAAATCTGGATCAATTTTTTCAGGCACTCCAATTACAAAGACTTGTAAATTTACATATCACAGCTGAAGAAAATTTTGATGAATACATACATAATACCTCCATAAGTGGCATGCAGTTTACTCGTCAACAACATTGCTAGAAATTAAATCTCCCAGTTTAAATATAGCCTTTGAAAATTTTATAGCACTTATAATGATTCATAAACAATCCCAATCTTAGACTCCAGGTGCTATGAAATCAGAAAAAAAAGGACCACTTTTCAAAAAAGTATGCTGGTCCAACCATTTAGCATTTTCTTGAATGTTAACTACAACTGTTAGTGCAATTTCTCCAGGTTGCTTGGCCTGGGTTATTATGAATACAGCACACAACAAAATTTCAATAAAGGCTTTAATTGATACTGGAAGCTTTGAAAACTTTATCAACAACAAAGATTGTAGAGATTAAATTAGGGGTTACTTGAAGGTGTAACGTCAGGTGAGTATGGTGGGTGTAGTAGGTCATCCCAGACAAGATTTACCAATTTCTGTAAATAGGCATGAGATCTGGTGTTATTCTGATGAAAGATAACACTCTTCTGATTGGCCAATTCTATATTGTTTGTGGCCTTAACTCAGTCTAATTGGGAATGGTATTAATCTGAATCCAACATTTGATTTTGCAAAGGAAGTTTGAAATATCAAATGCCCTTCTAACCCAGCAAGATACACAGCATCACCTCTAGATGCAGACAAGCTTTTGGAGTGGTTAATGGTGGCTGAGTTCATCTACCTCATGATCTTTTTCAATTCACATTTTTGGAAAGAATCCATTTTTCATCTCCTGTGATCATTTTTTACATTTGTGCAGAGAATTGCAGACGGAAATACAGTTTGCTAAATATTTTTTGTCAACTTGTGAGACACAAAAAAATATTGTAGTGAGTCACATATCCAAGTGTCTTCAAATGGCTTAAAACACTGCTATGATTATGTGGGCCATCACCAATGACTACAGGCCAGCTGGTCTTCCAGATCAAAATTTCGACTTGAGAATCTAGCAAAGCACTTATGAACAGTACTTTCAACTATAGCAACCTCTCAATAAACAGCATATATCTTTTTTACTGTTTATACAGGCTTTTTTACTTTGCAGAAATAAATGCGCATCATATATAAATGTATCACATGTTCCTCCATTTTCACTTATCAAAGCAGATAAAATTTAAAAAAAGACACACAAATTGAATAGAAAGACATACTGAAATATTACCTTTCAGAATATGTAGGAGGGAAATTCAAAAATTATCTGCACTCTTGTCTAAATATATGTTATGGTGAAACTATGGATAATTTTTGACTTAACTTATATATATATATATATATATATATATATAGCTTACAATTCAGTCACATATTCAAATGCCACTTTTGTTAGAATTCAATATATTTTTTTTAATGCAAAGCCCCTAATTTCTTTTTAGTTTTATTGCTCTGTCCATAAATAAATTTAATATGATTGACTGAATTATCATTGTTGACAACTAAACCCTGGATCTTCTTGTTACTGATTAGTTGCTTTTACAACTGACCCAATGGCTTCAATAATACAGTGACACATATGCAAAGAAATGTTAAATGAAGAGAGGCTTACCAAGCAGAGAATAAATTTCTTTTGTTTGTGGATTAGCAGTGCTGAAAGCATGTGCAAGGAATTTCAAACTCAGATTCTGCAAAATAATCCAAGAAAATTGATCTGATTCCATAAAACCTTATTATACAAACATAATATTTCAGTGTGTATATTTTACAACACAGGCACGTGTAAAAAGAGTGCAATAAAATTTTAGAAATCTATAAAAAACATCAGTACTTGTGTCCTTGAAGTCAAATCTTTTATATCCATAGAATTTTAGTAATAAAAATTTCCCTTAAATCAGGTGTAAAAGTTTTTTTCAGAAACACAAAAGAACATAAAACAAAAAAAGAATAAGACATATTTATTTCAGTGGAATGACATCATATTTTCAACAAAGTTTAGTTTGAGTGATTTTTGATTCATTATTATAAATTTCGACAAATGTTCCAATCTTGTTTATTACAGTCATAATGTTTCCACTGTTGTATATTGCTGACTTATTCAGGAATCCTCTGAGAATTGCAAACTGAATTTTTTAATTTAATCTATGGAGTTAAAATATTTTCATTCTGCTGTCCATTCTAGGGGATTATGTCATATTATTTAATTAGTTAATCCATATTTATCATGCAGGTTTTGCTTTGTCTATTGATTCTGGTTCTGATTGAATGATTTTAAGAATTTTTCAATATCTTTGTGTGATTACTGACGACTGTTGTATGGAACCAAACAAGTTGTAATCTGGGGTAATATCTGGAAAATTTTTCTGTCTTACTGCCATGGCTGTTTGCTGCATTACATTTACAATCATGAAAATGAGTGTTGTCTTGGAGTAAAATCATTAGTTAATTTCTTTGATAAAAAAAGTTTTTTTTTATGTCATTCAACAGGGCTAATAGCTCACTATACTGTTGTATATTCACAGTTTGTCCAGTAATTCATTATTAAGAATTTTCTTTGACTCTCAATAAACAAAGTGAAGTATTTCTTCCAGCAGGCTGAGATGGTGGAGCCTATTTTATATCTGGCTTTGAATTCCTTCATTTTTGGTTCAAAATAAAGACCTTTTTCAGTTATCTTGTCCAATAATTACTTTTTTCTGTGCCAATTAAAATATAAAGATGTTTTAATAATGTCCAATATTTATTTCTGTAAGTTCATGCAGAACACATTTTCCTAGCATCAGAAATTCCCATAAGATTTGTGAAAAATTAACTGATTGCACATGCAATGAAGAAATTTAGAAACACTTCTAAGATTTCCCTAACTGTACAAAAGATGAAACTGGTAAATTTTGCATCAACCTAGTACTTTTATAAATTATTGATGAGTAATTAAAATGTTAGAGGACAATAATTTATATACAGGCATAATACTTCATGTCTAACTTTAAAATGCCAAGAATCAAATTTGGTAGATTTAACTCACAAGAGAACACTCAGTAAAAAATATTTAACTACCATAATGTTTAATATTTTTCTTAAATATTCATTGGCCTAAATATCAGTCAAGTGTAATCATTTCATGTCTCTTTATTTAAGCCTATTCTTATCTATTCCAGTCATTTTCTTATCTATGATTGTTCCTAATTATCTCAATCTGTCATTATCTATATACTGATTAATCAAAAAGGAGGAAAACTAAAATAGAATAATCTGAAAAGCATTAATCTATCACTACATGATTTTTAACTTCAAGACTTCTGGAGATTAGCCAGAACCAAATTTCATTTTGGGTATAGAGTTAAACATGCACAAACCACTAATGTCTTACACACACACACATATATATATATATATATATATATATATATATATCATATATATATATATATATATATATGTCAACAACATTATTACTAAGAAGCAGAAAATTATATAATAATTACAATTTACATTTTGGGAGCATATTAAAATTTAACAAAGAGTTGTATTATTAAAATATTTCCCAGTTTGACTAAAATAATTAAATGGAATGTAATTTTTCTTTTTCCACTGTTATTTTCATTTTGATAAATTTCAGGATTAGTGCTGCTATGGAAGATGCCATTTCAGTTTATGGAAAATAATAGAGATGGGGGAAAAGGAAGAGGAAAGTAAAGATAAGGAAAAAAGTGATTTTATGTAAAAATGAAAAGAACATTTTGAATATGTTGAAAGATTCAATTTATATTGACTTCAAAATTTAGCAAATGAAGATGTAATGGAAGTAGATGGGAATAAGATGATTATATATATGTATGTATGTATGTACGCATAATATATAAATTATTTAGTCATATATATATATATATATATATATATATATATATATATATATATATATATACTTGGAGCAGTATTCTATTTTGTATATGTCTGTGTGAACATATTATATATGCATGTATATGAACAGTTGTTATGTAGGTATTAATCTTCATTTTTGAAATAAGCCAGTAAAGCCTCAATTATTAGTAAAAAAACCAAAAGCATCTATATATATATATGTATATATACACAGACAAAGAGGTTCTTGGCTGATAAGCACTCACAAAATATAATTTTTTTAAAAATCTCTCAACTTGAGAATTTTTCAAAAATTCTTCATATATGATTGTTATTTATTCCATTAAATTTGTGTGTGTGTATATTTTTTTTAACACTGAATGTTACAAAAAATATGAACAAAATATGAACAAATATATTTATATATATATATATATATATATATATATATATATATATATAAATATATATATATATAAATTCATATTCGAGGATACCTGTCTACTAGGGTGGCTAGCCAATCCCTATTGCAGATGCTTGCTCAAGCACATTTGTGCTTGCCCAACACCCACAGAGCCCACCTGTAGTTTATACTGCAACTATGCTGAACAGACCTTAGTTACAGTTTCTAGAAGAGAGCATATTATCTAGCGTGATCAACAATTTGAATAAGGCCAGCATGCTGAAGCCCTCGTCCACGATAACTTATGGCTTTGTGCTAGCACAGCTATCAACAACCATCAAGAGTTCTGTCTGCCCAATTTCACTCACAAGGCTTGGGTCAACCCATGGTATAGTTTTCTGGCACTTCCCATTCTGATAACATCAGGAAATCAACCATCAACCATGGTGAGATTCAAACCCGGTCTTGTGGTCAGAAAAACGAACATTCTAACTACATGGCCACATTCCCATATATATATATATATATATATATATATATATATATATATAATTATTTATATAAAAAATTTATAACATAAGTATGTTATAAAATCAATCTTAAAAATATTTATTTAAACCAAAACACAAATTGTCATATAAAAATTGATGGTGTTGAAAATAAAATAAATGGTTTTAAAAGTTTCCAAATAATTTCGATCCTTTTATCAGCATTGTTACAAAAAGCTAGAATAAGAAATCAAAATTGAAGTACAGCAAATATTCAAATGCATTTAATGTCTCCTCCATATTATAGATTTACAAAAAAATTTAAATTTAACTTTATTCAAAAAAAAAAATAATTTTACATTTTAATATATATAAATTTTCATGCAAAAAATATTAATATTAAATTTAAAAATACACAATTTTAAAATCCAAATTTAATCATATTAATATAAAAATATAAATATATTGAGAAAAGAAAAAAAAATGATGTTTATAAAATCCATTTCTTCATTGAAAAAACGTCTGACAAGACAAAAAGCTAAATTGACCATTTGTTAAGCATATATAAATCTTTTCCGTTTTTTTATTAAAGTTTTGAATATGGCTTAAATTAGTTGAAGGAAAACACAATGATTATGAATATTTAATCCAGACATTTAGATACAACACACACACACACACACAGGACATTTCAAATTACACACACAACTAAAAAAAAAAAAAAAAAAAAAAAGATCCATTGGGGGAATTTGAACAACTCAATAAGGATAAAAAAAATTTGACATTGAAACTAACACTTATACACACACACTAGTTAAATATGAATATATATACATATATATATATATATATATATATATATATATATACAATATATATATATATAAATACAACAATGTAAATATTTCTTTACTATACTAAATAAATGGTATACTTATTGAATTGAAATGTTCTTGATAAATTTATAAAAAATGTTTAAAAATAATATTATTTAATATATTAAAAAAAAAACTCTAAAAAATAAATTCAATAAAATATATATATATTATTAATCATATAAGTTGATAATATAATTTCATTATATATATTGCAAGAAAAAATCAATATAAAAAAAGTGCAAATATATATATATATATATATATATATATATTTTGGTCACAAAAAAAATTTTTAAAAAATTAAAAAAAAAAAATTATATTTATTTTTTAATTGTTTACTAAACAGAAAACACACAAATAAATATATAAACAATGCTCATTTTACATATACATTTCTATGGAACACTGCACATATGTACGTACATATACTTATAAACCTAAATACACACATATCTCTCATCTCTTTTTATATATATATATATATATATATAAAACAGTCATGATATACCAAAGAAAAAATAGGAACGAACAGTTAAATTCATGATCCAAAGTCCTTTAGTATTTATATTTATATTTTTAAACAAAACAATACATAAATATATACACACAATTATAATATCTACAAATAAACATATATATATATACATAAAATATAAGTTTTGAAACAACCAAGTCCATATATACATTTCATACATAAAATACAACATACTTTCAAAAAATACATATATAAACTGTTAACATATAGACTCATAAATTTAAAAACACCATACACATCTTATATATATATATATATATATATATATATATAGTTTAAAAACAAGGAATTAAATTGATTTTAATTTAAAAAGTCTCTAACAGCCCTTATAAAACCATATATATATATGGGAGTTTTTTAGACATATATATTGGATAATTAACATAATAATATATACAAATAACAACAATGAGCAAAAAAAGGGGGAAACACACTAAAATAACAAACAAGTGTATATTACTTGTAACGAGTGAACCATTGGGTAAATAACGTATAAAAAATCAAAACATAGCTAGGGACACAC